AAGGTAAAATAATTCTCCGATAATTATCAATCTAAAATTTCAATAGTTAGGCAATCGGAGGATTTAAGGTTAGAACCACATCTAACAGACACGGATATTGTCAAATAATTGTCGAAGTATTAGAATGATACAATGGGCAACATTGTTTGATAATTCTCTGATAATTATCCGATAACATTATGCAAGATCCCGCCTTCACGGACTTTCGAGCATCATGGCCGGACTACACTACGGTTGGATTTCCAGTATTAACCCACAGGACATTCTGGTTATATCAAAGTAGTAAAAGGTCACGCACGGCTAGTCAGATTAAGTTTGACACAAGTATACTGTGTGTCGGAACATAGGGGTGTCGGAACATAAGGCAGTCCCCCCTTCTCAGACACCCCCTGTTCGCGCAAGCGCGGACATTGGCCGCTTACGCGGACACAAAAGTTTCCCCCTCACCTAACAGAATGGATCGACGCCCCTGGGTGTTACCTTCTCTCTCTTGGTATTCAGGGTTTCATCTCCTACATCGGCCATACTGGTAGAAGACTCAACAAGACTCATTTTTATCTTTCAAAGTTGTGTTTTATTAGTGAAAGACAATTTATAGTTACGTTCAGTGAATACACTTTTTAATGGTGAAGATAAGCTTTATTGAGTGTTTCTAAGTGATGCATAGCTAATGCAATTATGAGTTGTATTATTTTGCAAGTATTGTCTATTTACGAAATATTGTGATGTAGTATGGCCTGTATTACTCATAACTTTAAACACAATCTTTTATGGTACTATGAATTCAGAAGTGCACTCAAAATATATATTGTATTTGTTTCAATAGCGTAACACGTTGGACATCTGTAATTGACAATACGTGAATGTAGCAGGTTTCTTGCGTGTACCACTCGATTAAGACTCAGGCACACGGACGCCACAATCCGCACAATCGTCACCATAGTTACACACATAATAGTCGCTATTGTAACCTCCATCGTCGCATAATCCATCGTGGGGGAATTCACAGCCATTTGTACACAATACCGGCCGCGCACCGCAGTCATAACAGTCACTGCCATACCAGCACAGGTCAAAATCACTACCCGGCCCTCCATCATCACATAAACCGTTGTAAGTATTATAACAGTCATTCCTACACAGCAAACTGGACCTAGAATCTGAATAGCAAATGAAATGAGGTAGTTTACAGACCAAGTGACACATAGTACACTGTATTAATGGTTGATTTGCTAAATGAAAGAGTGGTTTGATAGATAGCTATGAGCTGTGTATATTGCAACTTGAAATAATCGTTTGGCTATTCCTGAATAACAATCTCTCTCATTAAAAATCGTAGCTCCCGTGGCAAAAGATCAAGATCTTAACATCCAAACGATGGATACTTTTTTAGGGGAAACATCTGAAAATCTCAATCTCAACAATTTGTTATATAACTCATTAGTTATAGATTTAATTTTCAAAATTGATGTTTATGTGACAACCGGATCTAGACCCCCCCCCCCAAAAAAAACACTTAGTCTTTGTATTTGTATGAATGATAATCCGTATGAAAATTGCATGACAAACGTATACCCTTCTTGACGGAGCTACCAACAAAAATATTACCTAACAGTGATTCGTTGATCTTATACACTGGACTGAAGTTTCTTTGATCTTACCAAGTAATAATTAAATTAAGGCCTCTCCAATATTACCTACCATCAAATTCTTTGAATCCGCCACTATTCACACTTGCCACCAGAGGTATAACGAATGACGTCATAAGTGGACTGCAGAATTCATCAACAAAGTATACAGAAGGATTGCTGTAAATAGCCGTGATGCTGAAATGAACCTGGTCTGAAAGTTTAAAAGAAGTATCGTTGAGAGATTGCTTCTATTCTATTCTATTTTACTAAATTCAAAATTAAGTTTGTTCAAAACAGTGTCAAAAATGTTCCGATAATACTAGTATACCCATACATAGTCATATGTTGAATTTAAATATGATTTACATATAACATATATGTAAATTTATTTTAGCTTTAAAGAGGAAGGGGTGGTCATCTGCGCACGCGCGGTATTGAGTTCTAGCGACAAGACCAACGCTAAAATGCAAAGGGTCATGGGTAAACGCGAACGTAATGGATTATACGATACGTTTAATGCCGTCCGCCGTGTGATGTTGAATTGATCGAATTACGGACATTGAGTTACGAAAACATCGAGTTACAAACATGACCACGCCCACTTTTGCAAAACCACGTCGAAATAGTAACTCGATGCTCAATAAACAGTTTACAGAACTTCGAGTTACGGGCAACCTATATTTTTGTTTTTGTTGAACGTCCGCATTTAGTAACTCGAACTTTAAGTAACAGTTATGGAAACTTCGAGTTACTGGCAACATATATTTTTTGTTTCGTTTAACGTTGTATATTTCCCGTAATTCGAAGTTTGGTTAACTGATAATTAAATTCAAGTTACTAAATTTCGCTCCGACAATGAGGAGTTATGTTCATAATATTCAGTGCAATACAATGCAAAATGTTAGTAGTGTTTGTCGCTGGACATTGGGGGCGCACATCTGGTGCTATTTAGAATTACACACATGTTATACTCACTTGAAGTAAGAGTGACGTAAGCTTCAAGAGTAATCATTCTAGTGAACAGGGAAAGTGGAAAGGGGGCAGGCTTCTCTCCAACGAAGTGACCGGAATTGTCGCCACTCTGTTCGATCCTACCACGTGCAATGACGTGGCCAAACGTACTCATTTCTATCATTGCTGACCAATTACGTTCAGTGTTGGCATCGCCGAAGTTACAGATACGAATCATAAATTCTAAGATGTCCAGCAAATTCAGCTCAGTGTCGTGACAGTTATCTGAAACGAACACATTTACTATTCGCAGTTTACGCATGCGTAAATGTAGCCTTCATCACAGGAAGAGCCTGGAACACTCTTCCAGGGTATTTGAAACAAAAATTATTGTTCAACTGTAAGACTATCGCTGATTGGATCCTTACGTTGAACAGTAATTTCGGTTTCAAATACCGAAAACCGAAATTACCGAAATTTCGGAAACTGTTCCAGGTTCTCTGTGCAATGAGGTGTTCACACAAAATCAATGCCAAATGTTGTTAGTGGTTGCCTTATATTACCCCTACGAATCGTTTGGCTGTGGAAGCTTACTATTTTTTCTCTAATTTGAAGAAATCTGATAAACCCATTTCGCAACTTTTCTCTTTTTCTTTAAAGGAATGTGGTCGTCGCGCCACGCATGTGCGAGATAAGGGACTCATATAAACAAAGACAGCGACTTAGACTGTTGCATGGACCAACAAGTCATACTGGTAGGTTGCCAAGTTAAGCCGTATTCAAGATGGCTACCCCCATGTAGTAAATATCTGTGAGTAGAGTAATCGCATTTATTTGATTATCACTTGTGTATACCCAAGGAACTTTGTTAAAATGTTCTTCGTAGACAGGGGTTTATATAGAAAATTTTTATTATGGATCGCCAACTCATACATTTGGCATAATATTTGTCCAGAAAATAATAAAATGGTCCTGTTTCAACAAAAAACAAACATATTTGTGTTGATTAAAATCAAAATCAAATAAGCTTGACTTGAACAAATTTAAAAAATGTTTTGTTAATGTAATGCTAATTATTTGGTCTCTAAAAAATGACGAACCTACACGAATGTTGCTGAAAGAATGGTTGCTCGTACGTTATATTTTTGAACTGCCTAAACGTGGTCACTATAGGCAGGTGATATAAACGTGGTCACTATAGACAGGTGATATAAAGGTGGTCACTATAGGCAGGTGATATAAAGGTGGTCACTATAGGCAGGTGATATAAAGGTGGTCACTATAGGCAGGTGATATAAAGGTGGTCACTATAGGCAGGTGATATAAAGGTGGTCACTATAGGCAGGTGATATAAAGGTGGTCACTATAGGCAGGTGATATAAAGGTGGTCACTATAGGCAGGTGATATAAAGGTGGTCACTATAGGCAGGTGATATAAAGGTGGTCACTATAGGCAGGTGATATAAAGGTGGTCACTATAGGCAGGTGATATAAAGGTGGTCACTATAGGCAGGTGATATAACGGTGGTCACTATAGGCAGGTGATATAAAGGTGGTCACTATAGGCAGGTGATATAAAGGTGGTCACTATAGACAGGTGATATAAAGGTGGTCACTATAGGCAGGTGATATAATGGTGGTCACTATAGGCAGGTGATATAAAGGTGGTCGCTAACACAGGGTTTCAGTCCTATAATGCCCGATATTGCTCTAAGAAAACATCTTGACAAAACGCTCATGCTCAGCTCAAAAAGTACTGCATGGTCAAAAGCAGATAAATAAAATCCCCTGTTAAGTAGCAATAACGTCAATAACCTTGAAGCCCCCTCAATATTACATATCGACTAGGCTCCGTTGGTGTGGAATATATTGCCAAGCCCCAAAACGTCGGTAAATGTGTGCCTCGATGATATTGATTCTTGGCTTACCACATGGTGTTAGCTTGAAATCTTGAGAGAAATGATGCTTCAAAGTTGAACTTGGGTCATAGCAATCCTCCACCACGAGTTCAAAGTCGTCGTAACCTACACATTTCCCAGTTTGTCCAAGTCGAAGTTGGTGAGCCATGCCCTGCCACACTTCTACCGGTCCTGTAGGGGTACATCGTACATAATCGGTCCTATAGTTTTTTTACAGTTAGGCTAAAACATGTATAATAGTTCTGGGTGTCTCCCTTCGAAATTGACGCCGCGTTTTTTTACGGGAATGAATAACGTCAATTGTAAAAAAATGTACCATTGTAACTATTTTATTACCACCGAAAAAGAAAAACGAGGCAGAGAGCGAGATAAAATCCGAGTCAAAATAAGCCACATTGGAACATTTGAACATTGGAAGAGTGTCATCCAACTTTTTATCGTCTGCAACTATCAATGTGTCCTGAATGGTATCACATCAGAGGACAGTCACACATGCAATTACGTCAGAAGCAAGAGATACGCTGGTAGAGGCCAATATTATTATTTGCCATCGATAATAACAACATCTGACTAATACTGTCTGTCACGTATTCGAGGGATAATAATACAATGTATTAAGCCTTTATGTTATTACTGAAGATTCTAAAATTGTTGAATTTGTCCTTGTTGAATGACAAATGACTTATACAACCAAACATCGTTGAATAACATTGCTTACGTATGTATACGTCATTTTGACGTCACAGAAGCGTCATTTGTCGATAGAGGGCGCTTCATTGAAATTTATATCAGAAATAAGATTGGAAAATACATTATACATTACGTCATATTTTGCAATTGTCGTTTCAGATACTGGGAGTTGCTGCGATTGGATAAAAATGTATCTATGAATTATGCCAAAGAGTAGAAGTAGATAGGAGTTGACATGGTTTGTTAACAACCAAAAATACGTTATTGTGGGACCTTCATACACAGTCATACCTCCAATCCCTGGTCCAATGTTCAACATCATGAAGAAACTGTCTTTCATAGCCTGTATAATATCGAACATAAAGGTTGAATGGTCATAAAGTGGTTGATAAATTTGTTGAAAGCAAACAACCTTTAATTATTCTACAATTTCTATCGCATTTCTCATAAAATTTGTGTTGAACATATTTGTTGTTTCTAGTGACATGTGGTATTGAGTACGCACCATTTCGTTAAACCTCGTTCGCGAGTAAGCGCTTTCAAATCATTCAAAAATGGCCCCAAATATTTATCTACGGCACTGTAACATTACTGTATCCTGGAAGACCTTTGTTGATTTCAAGGTACCAGGCGGTGAAAATGAAGTACAAAGAGTCATGCGCGTTGTTAGAACAACAATAGCGACAGATGACTGTGCACAAAAGCGATGCCCTCGTGAATCTATTTACGTTTAGGGAGAAGCTTTACGTAACTGGAGGGCGTTTGACACGTGTCTCAGATTAGATACTAGTATACACACACAGCACACATACATACATACATAAAAGTTATACTAACTTCAAGAGCTGGATACACCATGTATTCTAAGACTGGTCGAAAACAATTCTCCAGATTGCTAAAACAGTTGTATACCCGGTAGTACAAATCAGCGATAAAGTCCTTCACTTTGTTGTAAGTATTTGCAAAGAAATCTACGATGTCGTCGACATAATCGGCAATGCGGCGAAGAGAGTCATACATATCTTCCCCAAACCAGCGTTTCATGGCTTTACCTTCAACGTGCTGGATTAGATCCCGTAGGTCGTCTTTGGTGGCGTATTGCGTTCCAACTGGAACCACGTGGTTATCACGTGTCTTCGTGTCAACTAGGACGTCCCATTCTTCCTCTAATGTCGCTAGTCTAAATTCTAAATTGTTGTGTTCTTCTGAAATAGTGAAAAATTGAATAATAGTAATAATATATTACTGTTTTGAGCATAAGGAACAATCACTAAACAGAACTTAATGAATGATTGTTACGATGCTGTCCCAGTTGTTCCAAGACAGACAACTAATTAAAGGGTGGTGGTGGTCGCGCCACGCATGCGCGAGATATGGGGTCTCATATGAACAAAGATGGCGACTGTTTTTCAGACCAACGAGAACAAACTGAGGCTTTAATAAGCTTTATCTAGGTAATGTTTTTGGTTATTGGAAATAACGAAAGCGTCACATCGATAATTAGTAGGCGTTGCGCCCAGGTCAACACTCGTGATTTTCACTAGAAGAGCGCATTGGATTGGATTGTGGGAAAGTAATATTTATCAACACATGCACGGCGCGA